ACAAACGAATCTTTGAATCTGTGTGTTGAATCGATTCACTGAAACGAACAGTTTAAAGGAACATTTTTAGTCAGTCATGTTTTTTTTCTGAGTGATGGTGCAAATGAATCTTTGAATCAGTGTTTTGAATCAATTCACAGAAACGAACAGTTTAATGTAACATTTTTTATCTGGCACCAAGTTTTTGAATGAGTCTTTGAATGAGTGTTTTGAATCGATTCAGTGAAACAGTTTAAAGGAACATTTTTTATCTGGCACCAAGTTTTTGAGTGATTATGCAAATTAATCTTTGAATCAGTGTTTTGAATCGATTCATTGAAACAAACAGTTTAAAGGAACATTTTTAGTCAGTCATGTTTTTTTTCTGAGTGATGGTGCAAATGAATCTTTGAATCAGTGTTTTGAATCAATTCACAGAAACGAACAGTTTAATGTAACATTTTTTATCTGGCACCAAGTTTTAGAATGAGTCTTTGAATCAGTGTTTTGAATCGACTCACTGGAACTAACAGTTTAATTGAACATTTTTAGTCTGGCACCAAGTTTTTGAGTGATTGTGCAAATGAATCTTTGAATCAGTGTTTTGAATCGATTCAATGAAATGGACAGTTTGAACTGATTTACTAAAATCTAACATTTTTTCTACTTTTACTTCTCTGTTCATTTATTTCTGTTTTGAGTGAATGTTTCGTATCTGATGTGATGTCCAGTGTTTTATGATGTCTCTTCTCTCTTTTCAGAGCAACGGATCATTGGTTTGGTGTCAGAATCACAAGCAGTGCTCAAAGGTAAAACTATGAATCTCATTAAAACCGCAAAAAAAACCCCACTCCCGGCTCATATTTCAGTCTAAATCACCAGAAGAAAGGGATAATGAAAGAAAGAGAGAACAGAATGGGAGTAATACGAGAGATACGAGATACAAGAGACACAAAACCTTTTTAATTATATCAATATAATAATCAATGATTCAGATTTTAGGATTTTTGTAAGACCTTTACTCCAAATTATTATTACTGTAATGCAATAAAATCTCATCCTCATTACTGCAATGCAAGACAAAATTGTGATATTTTATTAAAATATTTGTAAAGTTTACATGTTTTAAAAAGTAAGGTTAAAGTATTAATACATTTCATAACTGCAATGCAAACATGTGATATTTTATTTAGATCTTAGTAAAGTTTGCAAAAACTATAAATATAAAGTATAAATACTTTTTTAAACTTGTAAACTTTACAAATATTTATTAAATATTAAATATTTATTTCATTGCAGTAGAGACTTTATTTAAATATTCGATAATATATTTAAATATTTGTAAAGTTTACAAGTTAAACAAAAATAGATTAAAGTATTTATATAACTGCAATTAAAGAACAAATAGTGATATTGTATTTAAATATTCATAAAGTGTACACGTTTTAAAAGTAGGGTTTATACATCTCATTACTGCAATGCAAGAAAAAAATTGTGATTTTTTTATGTAAATATTTGTAAAGTTTACAAGTTTTTAAAAGTAAAGTATTTTTACATCTCATTACTGCTATGCAAGAAAAAATGATATTTTATTTAAATAGATGTAAAGTTTACAAGTTTAAAAAAGAAAGGCTGAAGTATTCATACATTTTATTACTGCAATGCAAGAAAAAATGTCATAATTTATGTAAATATTTGTAAAGTTTACAAGTTTAAAAAGTATCTCATTACTGCAATGCAAGAACAAATAGTGATAATTGATTTACTTTAATTGCTCGATACGAATCAGAGTTTGATAATATTTGTGTTGCATTGATAGTTTAGCAACAGTGAACTCCATTGAATTTAATTTTGAGTCTCTCATGCATTTTACATTTTTTGCTGAATTTTTAACACAGTAATTTTATTAATAGTCAATTGCTAATTTCTCACCAGTTGCCATGTATTTGAAGTTTTCTATGGCATTGTAGTGAAAACACGACACGCTGGTGTTTAGATTAAGGCGAGTGAAGTTCAGCCAAGAAGAACAACATTAACAAGGCAAAACAAAAATTAATTTTGCTTTATAAGTTTTTTTCCCTGAGTTAATGAGGATGTCAGAGGGCTTCAAAGAGGAGATACACTGTGCTTTAAAAGCAAAGCCGCTTTGTTTTTGTGCTCGAATGCAACAAAAGACCTGCTCTTTTCCTTTCCATGGACTTGGCCAGTATTGGATCCTGGCAACGGCGCTGTCCCCAGTCATTCATCAAGAGCTGCTGTGTTAAAGAAGGATTTGGCTGTTTGCGTGTCTGAGCATTGGGCGTTCCCATTACAACTGGCCCTCTTCATCTCTGAGAGTCTGAAAACTCTTGACACCCGTGAGGGAGATCATGCCATGCTTGGACTCGGTGTGTTTCTGTTGCTAGTGATCTGTCAGGTCTGCTTCAGAATCATGCTTGTTGTAATGGTAATTAGTAATGCATATGTTGTCGTACTCTGGGTGGGACGAGGGCCATGGAGTGAGTTCAGTCTTTGCTAATTTTATGTGTACACATGCGTCAGATGGACGCATTTGCCTGTTGCATTACGTTTCTCTGTTTCGTGTCTTAAGATGTATAGTTGACTTTTTAAAACGTGTTCTGTGCCATTATAATCCATCATCTAGCTGTTTTTGAATGCAAGAAACGAGGTTGATCGCCCTTTGGAATTGAATTGAGAATGTCTTAAATTCCAGTTCAGTTCCTGATTTTGAATTGATTTAGCAAACAGATGCAGAACAGCAGTTACAATTTGAGGAATGTAAGAAAATAAATTAAATGAATTGAAATAAAAAAAATATGGATGGATAGAAGGATGGATGGATGGATGGATGGATGGATGGTTGGATGGATGGTTGGATAGATGGATAGATGGATGGATGGTCGGATATATAGATGGATGGATGGATGAATGGATGGTTGGATAGATGGATAGATGGATAGATGGATAGATGGATGGATGGTTGGATGGATGGATGGATGAATGGATGGTTGGTTGGTTGGTTGGTTGGATAGATGGTTAGATGGATGGATGGTTGAATGGATGGTTGGATGGATAGATAGATGGATGGATGGATGGATAGATGGATGGTTGGGTATATAGATGGATGAATGGATGGTTGGATAGATGGATAGATGGATGGATGGTTGGTTGGTTGGATAGATGGATAGATGGATGGATGGATGGATGGATGGTTGGATGGATGGATGGATGGATGGATGGATAGATGGATGGTTGGATAGATAGATGGATAGATGGATGGATAGATGGATGGATGGATAGATGTATGGTTGGATATATAGATGGATGGATGGATGAATGGATGGTTGGATAGATGGATAGATGGATGGATAGATGGATGGTTGGATAGATAGATGGATGGATGGATGAATGGATGGTTGGATAGATGGATAGATGGATGGATGGATGGTTGGTTGGATAGATGGATAGATAGATGGATGGATGGATGGATGGATGGTTGGATGGATAGATGGATGGATGGATAGATGGATGGTTGGATATATAGATGGATGAATGGATGGTTGGTTGGATAGATGGATGGTTGGATGGATGGATGGTTGAATGGATGGTTGGATAGATGGATGGTTGAATGGATGGTTGGATAGATGGATGGATGGTTGGATGGATGGTTGGTTGGATAGATGGATAGATGGATGGATGGATGGATGGATAGATGGTTGGTTGGATGGATGGATGGATGGATGGTTGGATGGATGGATGGATGGTTGGATGGATGGATAGTTGAATGGATGGATGGATGGATAGATAGATGTACAAACGGATGGACGGATGGTTGGATGGATGGATGGATGGATAGATAGATGTACAAACGGACTTCTTGTGATATCCCGACTGCTAATGTAAAGCTCAATGTGAACTTTGAGTAAATGTTTCATTGCCAGCATTGATTCTCCATCATTATACACCCCTAAACTAAAGAAATGTAGGTCGTTTTTGTTTAGTAATAGACTTGGAGATGTTTGGGCATTCTGAGATTTTCTGCATCGGCCACTTTAACATATTTTCGCAATGTTGTGAAAGTGACTAATTCTTGAATTTTTAAACCAGCATTCACTCAGTATGTGGCAAGGCCTTTTCTCTTAGAGATGTTAATGACGTGGATTGTTAGTACTGGTTTGTGGAGTCTGTGTACTCACACACTTCTTAATGAAGTGATCTGTTTGCAAAGTCCTCACAATAACAAGCCAGACCCACACTGGGCCGATTATATAGGGCATCCCGGTATATTGTCCCGTACAGTGTGTGTGTTTTATGTTTGTGAAAAGCTCCGTTCAGCCCGTTTAGCCTGAGCCACCGTAGATGCCAAACAAAAGCAAAGACAGTAATGTCTCCGACAGCCACCCGCTGCCTCCGCGAACACACTGAATGATGCAGTTTCTGTCCAACAAAAGTGAAGCAAAGGTGGGTTAATTATTTAAACAAAGATAAAGCGACCTCTCAGATCCGTCAGCACATTGGAGAAGGACAGTGTTGGCGTCTCCTGCGAAACGTCCAGCGCCCCGTTGTTATGATAATTAACCCCGCTGCCCTGCTGCCGGAGCGAAGGGAGAGGGCATTTGTGAGTATTAGAGCTTCATTAGCATGCCACAGCACCACCATCACCCTCCATTTACAGCCGCCTCGGCCTTTTGTGTCTCCTTTCTTTATCTTTCGTGTGAGCACTTCTTCTGGAGTGAGAGAAAGATTGGAGAGTTTGACAACTTCTGGGTGCTAGTTCAAGTGAAAGGGGAAAAAACAAGGAGCTGAAAAGCAGTTTGAGTTGCTCACAAGGGTCAGACTTCCAAAGACCCCCAACGCTTGAATTGATTTGCTTTGCAAATAAGAGTCGCTCTCAGAAATAGACTTGCGAAAGTTTATCATTTCGGCTGGACTGGTACTTTTTGCTGAAATAGTTCATGCAAAAGTGAATGTTTGCTGCAAATGTACTCACCCTCAGGCCATCCGAGATCTAGATGAGTTTGTTTCTTCATCAGATTTGGAGAAATGTAGCATTGCATCAGTGTCTCAGCAATGGATGCTCTGCAGTGAATGGGTGCCGTCAGAATGAGAGTCCAAACAGCTGATAAAAACATCACAATAATCCACAAGTAATCCACAGCAAGCAAGTCCATCAGTTAACATCTGGAGAAGACAAAAGCTGAAACAAATCCAGCATTAAGACGCTTTTAACTAAAAGTCCATATAATCCATAATAACTGTTCCTCCAGTGAAAAAGTGTTCTGGTCCGAATCAGGAGAGAAATCTGCACAGATCAAGCAGCGTTTACAAGCCAAAACAGCTCTAAACAAATATGTGGCTGGATTTTGATGCGAGAGACAACAGCAGATGCACTTTTTCACTGGAGGAAGAAACCTTAACACTTTTGTCCAGATGTGAACTGATGGACTGGAGTGCTGTGGATTACTTGTGGATTATTGTGATGTTTTTATCAGCTGTTTGGACTCTCATTCTGACGGCACCCATTCACTTGCAGTGAGACACTGATGCAATGCTACATTTATCCAAATCTGATGACGAAACAAACTCATCTAGATCTCGGATGGCCTGAGCGTGAGAGTACATTTACAGCAAACGTTCATTCTTGCATGAACATTTTCAGCACATTTTTATTTTTGGATGAACTACTCCTTTTGAAGCAATGATTTAAAGGGGTCATATGATGCGATTTAATTTTTTCCTTTCTCTTTAGAGTGTTACAAGCTCTTGGTGCATAAAGAAGATCTGTAAAGTTGCAAAGACTAAAGTCTCA